GGCTTCTTCCCCTGCTTCTTCAAAAGATCAGCATCATGAGAAGCCTCAACAGTAGCTCGAACTAAATATTCAGCTCCCAAATCCACGATGTCTTTCATATTCATGAGCTCATTCGCAGAAATAAGCCACTTGCAGCTGAGGAAGGTAAGTTGTGGCTTGCGCTTGGATGCAGGAAGCATGAAGGTGGTGCCCATGCAACCTATCATAGTCCAAAACCATGCTCGAACACCATCTTTAAGACTGCCCTCGGTCCTCAAACCGTTCGGGTTCCCAACATACAGTTGGTCGTAACCGAATTGACGATCGAACCGATAGGGAAAATAAGGCTCTATATAGCAACGACCCTTCACTCGAAAGACGAGATGTCTGGGGTAGATGTTTACCAACCAATTGAAGCAACCCATATCGAGAGAAGTCTGACTAGTCCCTGGCTTCTCTTCATCAATCAACACATTGTCATAGCGACTCGAAAAACAAGGAAAACATTTGAAGAACTCCCAACACTTGTGGATTTGAAGCTCTTGCTTCGCCTTCGTAAAAGTCTTTGCAAACCATTTGCTCTCCTCTAATGATTGCAAGAGCGACACAGAGGTATCGGCAGAGCTTGGTGCTAATATCAGATCGGGACGATGAAGAACGAGCCATGTCATCAGATATGTATATGGGAACTCTACCTTCACGGAAGGAATCTTGGTCAACGACTCGAATCCCATCTGTGTAAGACCATCAACCAGGTACCTAAGCCCACAATGAATACCGACGACCATCGTCGGGAGTAGAGAGATATCTTTCCCATGAGCATGCTGAACAGCAGGGAATAGAACCTCAATCGGCAAAGCGTCGGAAAATTGGTATGGAATGACGTATTTCTTCAACCAAATGGCAAGATACCCTGCCAGAAGAGTCATAGGCTGAATATGCTTCTGTGCATGCCACAAAAAGGTATAAAATTTGGTCCTCGCCGGAAAGGGATCCTCAGCGGCCGAAGTAATAAATGATCGAGCGCCTGTCCTCGCAATCAGGTCATTAATCACTGAAGGAGTCAAAGGGACTAATTCACAAATAGCTTCACCAGAGCTACTCTCCAAGTGCTGAAACAAGTAATCAGCAAAATACTTCAAGCTTATCTGAGCCTCCTTCTACGCCATGGAGCCCATACTGGCTAGATCAGTCTAATAGTGACACGTAAGATCCCAGAACGTGTCATGCATGTTGGAAGAAGCTCTCTTCAACTATTTCAGCTGCCGGTTCGATGAAAAATACTCCTGATATGGATAATCTCCCATCGAAAGGCCGAAAACCTTTTGCGTCTCATGAAGAGCTAACCTAAGCTCTCCATTGCGAGTCAGAAAGTGTTGGTGTCAGGGTTGTAAAGCTCTAACAACGCTTGAAAATGGTGTTCACTAATCAGTAATCCATACATGGTGGCGCGTACTGATACATACAATCCGTTATGCTTCAATTCATTCTCCCAGTGTCTGAGGACATAACTCGTCATGCGAGTCCACCACCTCTTAGGCAGCGAGTGAAACCCATCCATAATACCTGCACTCTCTCATAGGGAGTTTCCTCCCAAGTATGGCAAGGCGGTTCCTCACTGTGTTTGCAGCTATCAACACTTCATCCGACAGTGCTGTATCAAGTCCCAAAATCCCTAGTCGAAGGCCACGAATAGAGGGAAACCCATCTGAACCCAGGGTCTTATGTTGAGTAATAAATCCACAGTGGACAGAATCGTGATCATCTATAAGACGCCAAGACATCTCTCTCCTTACATCTTGCACCTCTAAATGTGCAAATGAATACTGGAGAGAAATAGAAGGAATGTATAGAGGACTTCCGCCATCATCGTTCAGCCAACGCTCATCATCAACAATTAGCACATCTGGATCCTCAACATGATCCCCGAACAAGTAATCCGGCTTCTTCAAAGCCTGAGTAGAGCTGGAGTCTTCAGTAAGGAGAGTATCTGTGATCAACTGTCGTAAAGTGCAATGAACCCCATCTCGTACTAGCTGAGGAACCTCCTTAGGACTAGCCAGATCAAACTGAGGAGTTGAACCAATAAGCAACTTATCAACACTAGTGGCGAAAGTTTCCTTGTTAAAACCGCTCGTGGCATGAGGTGGGAACTCATCCGCAGGAAATTCAACTGAAACAGATAATGTACAATTAGAAAATTGTTGCTAAAAACTAGACAAGGAGTTAAACTCATCTCACGAATCAGCGAGATAGAGTCACTGCTTAGTCGACTGGCAAGAGGATTTTAACTGTTTTACACGGGAGGGACAACGTACATTATCACGCAAATACCGTGATAATATACCCCGCCCCACGGAGTGTAATACATTATGAAATTGCTCCATATGACTGAAGGTGTGTATTGGCCAAGCAAAACACGTCCTTTTAAAGCTTTATCCCAGCGAAGGAGAACATCGACTATTCCTGAATGACTCGCCAAGAGACAAACGAGGGTGCAAAGTACATAATATAAAATTCGCAAGAGTTATAAAAGCTCACTCCTGTATGAGGAAGCTACAGGAGGCTCCCTCTCGCTATGCTAAAAAATCGAGCGACTCCTGTGAAAACGCGGCTGTCGTGGAGACATGACTAACCTGCAACGCAAATTAGCGAATCAGGTACAATCACAAATTCAAGGACCCAAAATTAAAAAGGGATATTATGAACTTTAACAAAAAACCTACAAATAAAATGAGATTTTATGGTTGAAGTCTAATTAAACCTACGGGGTCCATAAATGCAAACAAGGGGTTCATTTTGCATCCAAGACCCTCGTAATCAATTTTGGGCGAAATACCCAAAATATCCCTCATGCTCAAGGCTTAATGTTATCCATGAGCACATTCAAAATTTGGCCATGATTGAAGGGGAAAACCCATCACCCTCAACATCAAATTTTGGCCATTTTTGCACATAACCCCCTCGAGAAAGTTGGACCAATTTTGCAATATGGCCTCTCACAAAGTTTCGACCAAGAGCTCACATTTAACACCCCCTAAATTGTTGGCCTTTTTTTGATGATGTTTAACAAAAAAATTACTATTAATGTTGTTTATCTAGTATTTGTGTTTTTGTATTTATTGTAAACAAACAATATGTTGGAGGGTTGATGGAATCGAGCATTCAAGATCATATCCAATGGAGGTTGGCGGAATAGTGGAGTGAAGCAATGCAATCCATGTTGAAGGTCCAAGTTCAAGCTTCATCCACAAGGTGTACCAAGTCGAGCTTAATGAAGATCAATTGCCTTGGGTATATTAGTTTAGCTTTATACTTTGTGTGCTTATGCTTTAAGCTCAAATGGTGCACGTACACGTTTTCTTGATTTATTGACTATGCTTATGCTTTAAGCTCAAATGGTGCACGTACACGTTTTCTTGATTTATTGACTATTATACATCCATTTGAGATAATAATAATGGTGCACGTACACGTTTTCTTGATTTATTGACTATTATACATCCATTTGAGATAATAATGTGTTTTCAGATTATTAACTTAATATAACTAGTTTACATCTTTTATAAAGTCTATTAATCCATTTAAAAGAAGTTTTAATCTTGTTTGAACAAGTTTTGTCAAAATCAAGTTTTAATAAGTTCATGTCCGTGCATGTTTTTGCAAAACAGATGAGTTTTCACAATTGGAAAATGCAATTTGAAAAATTTATTCGTTTATATGTTTATCTTCATATATACAAAAAATTTCCTAATTTTTACTAATTTTGGAGTTGTTTTGTTATTTTCAATTGAATTTACAAAAACCCGTTTTCAGCAGTTTTTCAGAAACTATAATATCTGTATTAAAATAATTATTTCTCACAAATAGAAAATGATATACATGTTTATATACATGTTTAGAAACTTTGTTCAAAATTTTATGATTTTTAGAATTGATTTACTATTTTTAATTGATTTTATAAAACCAGCTACACATATTCCTAGAACTGCAGAAACTGTTTGTGCATGTTGCAACAGTACCACAAACGACCAGATTGGTCTCGGAGGTCGACTGCCAAATGTCCAGAGTGCATTTTTGGCTCTTACGGTCGACCGCTACAGTAGCCACGGTCGACCGCCAATGTTACCGTTACACAGTAACTGTAACTTGCTGATTTTGTTTATTTTATTAATTTTTATGGGTTTTGGGTATTTTCTTGGGTTGTTTTCTTCCACCTTATATATAGCCTATTGCCATAACCATTTGAAAAAAACAAGTGAGTTTTAAAAAGAGTTTTAAGTGTGTTTAATTTTTTTTTTAAAGTTTGTTTAGTGTGTTTACAAGTTTGTGAAGAAATTTTCACAAGAGGAAGAGGAGATCATCTTTGGTGTTTGTGCATCATTCCATTCTCTCTCTCACTCTTGATCTATAGAGAAGTTTCTCTAAACTCTTTCTAATTTTATATTTATTTGTTTGTTAATCATTTTTATTAAAGCTAGAATTATATTTAGTTTAGATTTGTTTTTTATTATACTTTTTGTTTACACACGCAACCATTGAGCTTATTGTAGTTTCATACATAGTATAATTTGGGTTATGAGGATTGTGTGACTTAGAGTGTGAGCTTTCATTGTGTTCTCGTCCATAGTAGAGAACAAACATTTGTTGTATTGAGCCTAATTGTGACGATACACTTTGTAATATACTTGTACACCGAGAGGAGTGTGTGGTGAGAGACGTGGTCGTCCTAAGAGGAGTGGGGTAGGTGGTAATGCCTAGAGGTAGGTTATAATTCCTAATACTTGAGGGAGATATGGGTTAGAGACCAACACTTAGAGGGCGTAAAGTGGGATTGCAAGAGTGTGAGATTGTAAAGTTTTTGGTGAGCTAGAAAATCGAGTGTAAGGTGTAAACGTTATTCGGGTGAGCGTAGAAACCCAGTTATGATAGTGGATTTCTCCCTCAGAGTTGGGAGTAGAGAGTAGGACGGAAGGTCCGAACTCCGTGATCATTTCCTTGTGTTTGGATTTCCCCCGAAGACTTCTCGCTGAGTTCTAGGGTTTCCTCGCCATCGTGCACTTCCGCGCACCCGCAGGCCACCTCGACTTTGTTTCCTCCTCTCGTCGACTCCCCCATATGTCGCTCCTCTCCTTCACTTCCTCTCGTCCGACAAGTTCGTCGATTTAAAGGCCATCCCCTCTCTAGCATCTAGTGATTTGGGGGTACTTATCTCTCTCGGAGCTCAAAACCCTAGTGATCTGGCTCCGATCTGAACGATTTGGATCTCTGAAGTAAGTTCTTAATTCATTGTGAAATTTCGATTACTATAGAATAGTTTCTATGGCCACATATTTACGATTTGATCTTATTTGTGATTATTTGCTGTATTTTTTATAGATTTTTTGTATTGAGGAACATATGTTAACATTGAACTGTCTGTTTTCTTTTTTGTTTTGTAGAAATATGTTCTGTTATTTGAATTTAATGTAGAAGACCTGATTGCTTTTAGATGCAAGTATAAGTTAATTTTAGTTTTCTTATTTGACGAACAACAAGCAAAAAAATGTTAATAGTTTGTTAAAAGAATGAATATTCATGGATTGTGTCCTTAGTTTTCTAATTCCAATTCAAATCGAACCCTCATCAGGCCCCATAGCGTTAGGTGGCGGTTTCGATCATTATTTACAAGCACCAGAGCCCATCGCACTGATCGGCTGGGTGGGCCGCTCATTTGTTTGTTGTTTGTGGGCGTGTGTTCAGGGAGCACCTCACTTGTTTACCCTATAGTGCGCTTCAAGGTTTATTTTTGTTTAGCGCCTTTTGCCTGTGTAGCTAAGTGTCTGCAGTATTAGAGATGTGGGATAGGGATATTTTCACTAAGCTGAATCTGTTGACTTCTGAGCTAAGTGTCTGCAGTATTAGAGATGTGGGATAGGGATATTTTCACTAAGCTGAATCTGTTGACTTCTGAACATACTCTTTTTTACTGTCCTTTTGTGGGATAGGGATATTTTCACTAAGCTGAATCTGTTGACTTCTGAACATACTCTTTTTTACTGTCCTTTCCGTCTATTTGCATCAATGCGGGAATACTAGGAAAGATCAGATGGACAGAAGGAGCTCCTAAAGCAACTACCAATTTGCTGTTGATTCGCAGGACAGACAGAGATATTATTACATTACTGCGACAATCCAAACCCAGAAAAAGAGCTTTTTATTTGAATTGATTTGAATGAAGTTAATCAAATCAACTAAATATTGACTCTAGATATTCCCTTATTCACTTTGATTGATTATATTCCACTCCTAGTATTTTGGTCTTGTGGGGTTTTCGACATTTCTTCCTGTTTGTCAATATTTATACTTTCAGCATTTACAATGTGTAATCGATCGTGCCTTTGATCCTTGCTCGTGCTGCTTACTGCAGGTCAATCCTCCATCCATGTATTATATTTACTTGATAATTATATTACCTCATCATTATTTTTATGTTATGTTTTAATAGGAACAACAATTAGACTTGGTGTTAGTTTTAATTTATTTGATGCCCGTAGATGCAGACTTATAGTTTATTGTATTTACTTACTTTATCTATTTTCAGTTCTCCATTGATAAATTTTGCTAACGTCCTTTTTATTTTGCAGTTACTTATTCGTTAAATACCTGATCATGGATAATGGGGAAATTGAGAGCACAGATGAGGAGATGCCTGCACATACGGGACGGCAGTATAGTCTGGTGACATTGCATGATCGACCAGTTATCGAAATTTCTTCACTGGAGGCTGGAACTTCTTCAGAAACTTCACTGAAGTATATCCAAAGATCCTTTAATTTTGATTTTGATCACTAAATCTAACTATATATTCCTCAACCGTCCATCAGTGTGCCCCCAATAGAAAAAAAAGAAAAAGGAAAAAGAAAAAGAAATACGAAAATCATTGAAATGTCCTATTTGATTTATTTATGTATAGTTGTCTGCCTAGTTGAAGCAACTTATATTGTTTTCTTCCTTTAGTTTTTAGTGATTCATTGTGTTGTTACTCATATATAAAAACTGCTTTAATGCATTGTTTATATAAATACCTCATTCTGTTATTCATTTTTTTAAAGACCTGACTTATGGTATTAAAGAAGGTTTTAAAGGGAAAATAGGTTGAGCGAGTAAGATAATGGATAGACACAAAATTTAGCCAAGCAGGACATATAGGCATACTTCGGTTGATGAAAAATAAAAATTCATGATATTAAAAATGAAAATCCAAGATGAAACACATTAATTGAGTGAAGGTATGCCTAATACAAAAGTACTTACCATGCTTATTACGTATCTAGCGTTACATATTTATCATAGCCACTCTCCTTATTTGTGGCTTCAAACATACCATCAAAGTCAAAATCTGTACTATAGCCACTTACAAATTTTATTATGTTATCCATATTTTTTATCCATTATTTTCTAATTCTATAAGGTATTTCCAAATTGTTGCTGATTAAATACTATGTGCAATTTTTATGACTGTGTAGGAATGTTAAAGAGAGGTCTAATCTAGAAAGTACTGCCAATAGAATGGAGTCTCATACTCATGGTGGACCTGGTGGATCTCAAACAGAATCAAAATTGGAGCTGTTTGGTTTTGATTCACTTGTCAATATATTAGGCCTTAAAAGGTACACAAAGAAAATTTGATATTTTTCATGAGCATTTAATTTGCCTTGCGTGGTTCGTTTGCATTGGATTAATGCATATATTTGTTGGTTGAGATATCAACCAAGAGGATTTCATTTGCTTCAGTATCTAAGAGTTTGGGTTTGGTTTTCAGGAAACTGGTCCAAAGATGGGGACTATGATGGGTGTGTTTGTACCATGCTTGCAGAATATTTTGGGTATTATCTACTATATCCGTTTTTCTTGGTAATTTTTATCTTTCTATTAATGTGATTTCATTGAAATGTTTAGTACCAGCATTCAAACCTAGATTCATATATATGGTTATTCTTTAGTTATGCAAAATAATTGTTTTGTACTATAGCAGCAAGATATTAAACTCTCGCAACCCCCCCCCACCCCCACCCCCACCCACAAAGAAAAAGAAGAATTTGTTCTACATTTGATCATCTTTGTCGTTTGTTCTTGGCAATATCTTAAATACTGTAGAAAACTACATAGGGAAGATGCGTTTGCGATGAATGCCAATATTTTTGAAACCAATATCACTTGGTTAATCCACTTGAAAGAAACCAAGAACTAATGCATGTGGGAAGTCAGCAAAACTTTCATCCAAACACTATTTTTCCCAAAAGAAAGTGATGAATACACATATAAGCTTCATTGGAAAGGACAAGCAACTAATGTGTAGATTGGAATCCACATGATGTAAATCTCATCGTGACTGGGTATGGGTTCATGTCCTGAGTCAGTACTTTACTATAATTGGATGGTTTGATTTTCATTGCTACCTTAGTATCAAACTAAACTTTAATGTAAAAATTTGCATGAAAGTAGTGTCATTTGTGTCGTTTGGTTCATTACCATTTAGTTCATTGTGCCATCTTGCCAGGTCTGCTCATAGTTTTGTCCGTATGTTTGACTATCGGAAGATCGATGGTGGTAGTTGTATTACAACTTTACATAGTTAGAGTACATGCGTCATGGAATTCTTTTTGACATAGTTTCAACTATAACAGTACCTCATTTTAAACTTATAACTGATAGGACAATTGTGTGATATTAAGAGTTATATAGACAATAGCATTGGATAACTTGTTAAGTTTATTATTGGTCTAACTACGGTAAATGTATGCATTTGTTTAACTAACTTCAAATTGATTTAGGGAAGACAAGGAAGATGGAAACCTTTATGGATCAACCTCTTCAAAATAGAGGAGGTCATTTGTGGTAAAGATTTATTAAAATTTATTTAACATTTTGTAGAGTTGGATATACACAAACCCACTTGCTATGATTTGTTGGAGCTGACAAAAACATGCAAGCAGAAATGTGTCAACCTCTTCAAAATAGGAGACCATTTGAGGTAAGTTTAGTTGAGTTTTTATTGATATTTTAAAGCATATATTCAAGTGACTGAATCTTGCAATGAATATAATCTCATTTTTATCTTTTTATCTAAATTTATGCAGGAAAATTGATGGTGGCTGAAACAGGTTAATCCATGCGTGCTTTTCACTTACTGTGAGATTAGCTCTATCCAGACAATTTACAAATTATGTATACCAATGGATACCTTTAAACAGAAGACACTTTTTGTTTTAATGAAAGAGGAATTTTAGTCATGTACTTTGGACAAAAGAAAAAACTTGTACTAAAGTCATTGTAATGATACAATGAATTGTTCCTTATGTTTGGTTGTTAATTTGCTTTCAAAATTTGGAGTTTCATTTCTTTGTTTGTGACATGAGCATGTATAAATCATGGAGTTTTCATTTTTTTTGTTCTTTTTTAATTTTGAAACTGCAGGTTAAAAAAATGTGTGATATATCTGGATGATTTGCTTTTGCACGGTCAAAATTAAAAACCGTCCCCTTTGTTATATATATCCATTCTCATATCTTTACATCTGAAAATCGTCCACATTGCTAAAAACCTTTCCCATTTCTAAAAACCATTCCTATTGCTAACTGTCTCCTTTGATATAAAAACCATCTCCGTAGATCACAAACAAAACTGTTCCCATAGACAATAAAACTGTCCTCCTAGGTCAAACTCGAAACCGCCCCCTTTGGTGTGTAAGCGTCACGATAGCTTAAAATTATAACTGTTCCCGTTGCCAGATAACCGTCACTATCTGCAAAAATATGAACCATCCCCATAGTTAAACCGTCCCCAAATGTTGTCTACGAGAACAATTCAAGAACCGTGCCACTTGGATCATGAACCGTCTCCTTAGACCAAAGACCACGACAACAAAGGTATCGGATGAGTAACCGTTCCCGTAGGCCTATGAGGATGATTTTATTGTCTAGCGGGATGGTTATAAACTGTCCCTGTAGACCCATTATTTGGTAGTGATAGTGAAGTGAAGCAATACAATTTATGTTGAAGATCCAAGTTCAAGCTTTATCCGCAAGGTGTACCAAGTCGAGCTTAATAAAGATCAATTGCCTTGGGTATATTAGTTTAGCTTTATGCTTTGTGTGCTTATGCTTTAAGCTCAAATGGTGCACGTACACGTTTTCTTGATTTATTGACTATGGACTGGAACCTCTTCCAAGAAAAAGTCAAAAGGAAAAGGTAAATCTTGTTATGGAGCTTCCGCTATTCTAGGAAAAGACGATGAAGAAATCCCCGCCTTCCCACTTTCTGAAGATGAACAGGAGGCCTTTGCAACTCGGAGTGGGAATGAGTACCACTACAAATACCCAGATGATGGTGCACGTACACGTTTTCTTGATTTATTGACTATTATACATCCATTTGAGATAATAATGTGTTTTTAGATTATTGACTTAATATAACTAGTTTACATCTTTTATAAAGTTTATTAATCCATTTAAAAGAAGTTTCAAACTTTTTTGAACTCGTTTTGTCAAAATCAAGTTTTAATAAGTTCATGACCGTGCATGTTTTTTACAAAATAGATGAGTTTTCACAATTGAGAAATTTAATTTGAAAAATTTCTTTGTTTATATGTTTATCTTCATATATACAAATATTTTCCTAACTTTTACTAATTTTGGAGTTGTTTTGTTATTTTTAATTGAATTTACAAAAACACGTTTTCAGCAGCTTTTCAGAAACTATAATATATGTGTTTAAACAATTATTTCTCACAAATAGGAAATTATATTTTACAAATTCTTTCTCTAACATGTTTATCTATATGTTTAGAAACGTCCCTCAAAATATCATGATTTTTGGTGTTGATTTACTATTTTTAATTTATTTTATAAAACCAGCTACACATATTTCCAGAACTGCAGAAACTGTTTGTGCATGTTGCTACAGTACCACGATCGACCGGATTGGTCTCGATGGTCGACCGCCAAATGTCCAGAGAGCATTTTTGTCTTTTGCAACTACAGTAGCCGCGGTCGACTGCCAATGTTACCGTTGCACAGTAACGGTAACTTGCTGATTTTGTTTATTTTATTGATTTTTATGGGTTTTAGGTGTTTTCTTGGTTTGTTTTCTTCCACCCTATATATGCCCCATTGCCATAACCATTTGAAAAAAAACAAGAGACTTTTAAAAAGAGTTTAAGGTGTGTTTAGAAATTTGTTTAAAGTTTGTTTAGTGTGTTTACAAGTTTGTGAAGAAATTTTCACAAGAGGAAGATGAGATCATCTTTGGTGTTTGAGCTTCATTACATTCTCTCTCTCACTCTTGATCTATAGAGAAGTTTTTCTAAACTCTTTCTAGATTTATATTTATTTATTTGTTAATCATTTGTTATTAAAGCTAGATTTATATTGAGTTTAGATTTGTTTTTGAGTATACTCTTTGTTTACACACACAACCATTGAGCTTATTGTATTTTTATTCATAGTATAATTTGGGTTGTGGGGATTGTATGACTTAGAGTGTGAGCTTTCATTGTGTTCTCTTACATAGTAGAGAACAAACATTTGTTGTATTGAGCCAAATTGTGACGATACACTTTGTAATACACTTGTACACCGAGAGGAGTGTGTGGTGAGAGACAGGATCGTCCCAAGAGGAGTGGGGTAGGTGGTAATGCCTAGAGGTAGGTTTTAATTCCTAACACTTGAGGGAGACACAGACTAGAGACTAATACTTAGAGGGTGTAAAGTGGGATTGCAAGAGTATGAGATTGTAAAGTTTTCGGTGAACTAGAAAACCGAGTGTGTGGTGTAGATGTTATTCGGGTGAGCGTAGAAAACCTGGTTGTGATAGTGGATTTCTCCCCAGGAGTGGGGAGTGGAGACGTAGGATAGAAGATCTGAACTCCGTGATCATTTTTTTGTGTTTTAGTTGGCTTTGGCGTTTCGTTTGTGCTTATTGTTCATTACATTCTTGTCGCCATTGTTAATTTCTCTTTGTTTATCTTGTTCACTATCTTGTTTATATTGCTTTGTGTTTATATCACATTTAGTTTCATATCCTTGCATATTAAGTGTTGCATATCTAATTTGCTAGGATATTTATTAGTAAGTTTTAATTAGCATTAAATCAGATTAGATTAGCATAAACCCTATTCACCCCCCTCTAGGGTATTTTTATAAATTTCATCCATCGGTATGTTATCCAAGCCCCCAAAATTTTGGCTTCTTTTACATTTAACACCCCCAAATTTCGGCCTCATTTTGCAACAAAGCCCCTCAAAATTTTGGCCACATTCTCAAGCTCCTCAAACACAAGCTTCAAACTTCATATTCATGTCAAAAAGACCCCCCAAAATTTTGGCCATGTTCATGAACCCACTTTCAAGTTTCATTTTTTCCCCAATTCATGAAATCAAAAAGCCCTAATCTTGGCCTACAAATTCATGAATAAAAAAAATAAACAAATGCAAAAGAGGCTAGGGAGAGGAGCTTATCTAAATCAAGAGCTTGAATCCAATGCTAAAAACCCAAGTTTTGAACTTGAAATCCCTTAAGCCTGAGGGTGATTTTCGGCCAAGAACAATAGGAGGGGAAGATGAGGCTTCAAATCTTTTTTCAAGAAGAGTTTAAGAGTCCTTAAAGAGGGGGATTAAGAGTTCATCAAAAGGAAGAGTTGTGGGTTATGAAGAAGTGGGTTTGGATAAGAAATTTGGAGGAGGAAGACGATGAAAAAAAGAGGGAATTCAAATATGAGGGGAACACAAATATCTATTGTACAAAAACTTGTACCCATGCCCTAGGCCGGTGATGCGGCATAAACATGTACCAAAAATATTGCAAGTGCACAACCGTGTCAAGTTATAGTATAAAGAGTTATCGATCCCACGAGGAAGGTGTTTTGTAGGAGAAAATATAAATCGGTTCTTATGTTATGTGCGTGACAAATAGGAGTGAAGAATAAGTGTGATTGTGAAGATATAATAAGAGTGAAAGAGATAGTGTGTAAATTGGCACAAAATGTAAGTGAGAGTAGATGTGACAAAGAATGAATGATTTTCATAAGGAGAGATGAATAAAATCAAGAAAAAAGGAAAATTCAAGAATAAAAAGAAAATTCAAGAAAGTAAAGATGGCAGATTCAATTAAAGATATGGATAATCTAGAATTGAATCCACTTCTTAGAAAAAGGTGATTCTCTAGAGGGTTCTAGCCTAAAGTCGAATCAAAGAAAATAAAAATAAACAAAAAGAAAAACTAAACCCAAGAGGGTTCTACCCTCAAGGTGAATAGCGTAAGAAATTAAAATCAAGCTACAAAATAAATTACAAAATCTAAACTACAAAATAAATTATAAGAATTAAATACAAAAAAATAAATCTACTCTATAAGCATAAAATAAATCTAAGACAAGAGGGTTTTAGCCTCTTGGCTCTTTAAACAAGAAAATAAAATCTAACTACAAGCATAGAAATAAATCTAAACTAATAAGCAATAAAAAAGAAATAAAAAAAATAAAAGAAATGCAAACCTCCAAATAATTCTTCATCTCCATCTTCATCATCCAACAAAGAGAAAAAATTTAAAGTGGTAAAAAAAATTATTTTATTAATTTTAACAAAAGTTACAAATTTGGAAGGCCTTCTCAATTAAGAGTGGCCCTCCTCTCCAAATGGAGTTACAAAAATTTTCATACCCTCAACCCCTCACTCTCTACTCCTATTTATAATAAACATCAGTGAATGAGAGCCATTGGATTAAAATCTTATCCAAAACAAGCAAATTTCAGCCATTGATCTGTAACAGAATGACGTAGGTATCGATACCAGCATCGATGCTGGTATCGATACGGGCATCGATGCTGGTATCGATACGGGCATCGATGCTGGCATCGATACCCATATGCCTCCTTTTGCAATCCGCTAATTTCCTCTTTCATTTGGTTGGACTTAGGCTTGGGCTCTTTCATGTATTTGCATATATTCTTCATTAATTCATGAGCTTTGTTGAGAGAAGAGATATTGGGCTTTTTATTTTTGATTATCCTGCAATTAAAGATAAAAACAATTATTAATGATATATTTATTCATATAAAATAGATAATGAGGGTATAAAATTGTAATAAAATATGATTATCAAATACCCCCACACCTAAACTTTATCTAGTCCTCTAGCCAACAAAGAAAAAGAAAAAAAACCTAACTCACTTTCGCAGGAATCGCGGTAATATTTAGCGCATACAACAAGTCTTTAAACCCCTAGGTTACCCTAGTTGACGAGTTGTAGTCTCGTGAGGGTTTACAGTGAATATACCCACAAAATTCGGTCAACTTACCAAATTAAAGAAGTCAGTGAATAACTAAATTCACTTGATAACTTTAA